GTGGAAATGCCTGATCACAGTAAAGCCGGAGATATTGCATCCCTTGGTTAGATTTTATTGATTATGACGCATATGGTCCATTGTGGAGATCAATTCTTTGGTAAGCTTATCCTGTAGGAGAAAAACCAGTGTACGTAAACAATTCGTAACATGTCCGGACATTCAAAGGCGAGTTTTCTGTACGATAAATTTGTCCTGACTGCCAGAAAGTATTGGAGAAAAGTGCAAAGTTAGGGGAAATCAGATGTCCACTGCTCAGCCACGTGACGCTCCACACAAAAAAACAAAGGTCTAAAGGAATGAAAGACTGTCGTAAAGTAACAAATAACGTCATAAAAGAGAAATTCAGTTGAAATTCGGGTGAGCCTTCTGAGAAAAACAAAATTTGTATGCAAATGAGTATATTTTTGGGAACGAGACAAACTTTCTGACACAGAAGACAGACTTGTGTTGTGAGTGGCAAGGCTTTCAAACAAGCTTTTCAATTGCCTCAAAATCTAACACTACTTTCTAACGATATCACGTCAAACGAAATGCGGTGGGGATTGCATGCCAGAAATAGATAGCCAATAAAAGGTCCAGCTGCTTCTGTCGAATTGAAAAAGATCAACAATTTGTTCACATAAGCAACTTTCCATTTTGCAATCCACTACTCATAAGGTTGCCGAAAACTCCTCGACAGCCCACCCTCATAAGGTTGCTGAAAACTCCTCGACAGCAACCTTATGAGTAGTGCATTACAAAATATATATGTATTGCGATATCTCGAATATCGTAGCGACTGAAACATGAGGTGGCCTGGTGCAGCACATTCAGTTGCCTGGAAACATCAAAACCGAGGGATTCAGCTGGGTTCCAGGTGAGTCTTTCGAGAAAACAAATTAATTTGCAAACGAGTGTGTATTCGCCAAATTTCCGTTTCTGCAACATACTTCTCAACCTGCAAGTTAACTGGTAACGCTTGAGGTGGAACATGTGAGGGAGATTCCTCGAGTGGTTGAATGACCGCTGGATAGGTAGGTTCTGATGCAGACACCAGTTACTTGGTACACCTGATCTACCGTGTTAAAAGTATGACTTTTTTCCTGCTCCTGACGTCATTGGTTCTTCAGGGAGTATTTTTCCCGTATTGAAAAGCCTCCGCCTTGAAATGAATCCTTGGTGAAGTTCTTTCCGACTCTGTTACCTTATAGTCTTGAAGTGAAGCTGGAAAGATATGAATACTGTCCAACCGAAGTGGATTAGCAGCAAATTTGACGCTCATACAGGCCCTTGGGTCCACGGATCGAAATTCGCTTAAACACAGTGAGCACTTGTAAAAGTCAGATTCCTCTTGACAGGCTGTTTGATGAAATGTAAGGTAGCACCAACGATCGAACAAATCGCCCGACAGCCTGGAGCGAAATTGGTCATTGTCTCCGTTGGTTTGTAAACACCTATTAATCAAAGCGCTGTCGAAAAACCCAACGGTCTGAAGCCACAAGCAACCGAGAGCCATAAACAGCTGTTTTCCGTTGTCGTTCAGCTGTAGCACCCTTTTCGGCTCCTAGCTGCCATGTCACCCGAAGATTGCACGAGGACTGGGATACTGCCAAGTTGCCCAAGCCCAGACAGAGGAAGTCGGGATGCACAGGTCCGGTTCGAACCACAGACCTGCCGGTCAGTAAATTCGCGCTCTAACCACTTGGGCCATCTCGCCAACTGTTTTCCATGTATGATACAGAATTTTGCTCATGCAGAAAGCGAATAAGATATTCCGCGATTACCAAGAATTCAAACAGCGTATTGAGTGGATGAACTGCAAATACTTCTTATGCAAGGATCCATCCTTGAGGCACAGTAGAAACAGGTAAAACCAAGTAATACGTGAAAACGTAAGTGAGAGGCAGCGAAAAAACCCATAAACACGTGGTGTTGCACTTTGTGTTGCTTTAATAAGATCTACTCTATGTAACACGGAAGTTTGTATGAAAAATTGTGTAATGTTCACTGTCATGAAAGGTGTACGGGCAAGTGGCCAAACGCTCTAGCCTTTGACCTTGAAGCAATGTGTACGAATAGTCTTTTGTCAAATACTGTAGATTATTTTATTGCCGGCTCATAGTATCCAATCGTTGGCATCCACCTCAAGCGCGTTATTCCGTTGTTTACAGAAAACAGCCGCTTTAAATTTCAGCATACGCCTTCAAACGGATAGATGGCGCAGTCATCGACGGTACTTCGAGCCCACCGTTAGGTCATTTTTCTTCCTAGAGAAATTGAAACAGAACTTTAAAACAGAATAATGTTTCACGTGAATTACACACAACCGAAATCAAGGGTGGTTCACGAGAGGGAAGTTGAAGTCTCTCTATCTCTTTGAACCCAGTATCACACATCCACTTGGAGGGTACACTGTAGACAATGTGAAGTCAGATTTCATACAAAAGCGATTTGAACACACAAAAATAGCTTTTATCGAGTCACAGCTGGGGACCATTTTGAACAACCAGAAGAGATCATAAATCAAAATTTAACAGCTATCGGGTACCTGGATTGATTTCTCCAAGGCCAATGTAAGAAAGAACCCGAATAATTGACAAGTCCTTTGGAGCAAAGAAAACCAGTGCTTTCAGCCGTGGATGTGTGTGTAGTATAACTTAACGCGAAACTGTGGTATATATGTGCACCACTGTTTCAGAGTGGGGCAAATTTGTTCTGGTGCCCAGGCGTTCTTTTACGTTGTTTTAGCTTTCGTCTACAAACATAGCACTCCATTCGCAAGGAAGCACATTCAGAGAAAACTAGACTGTCTACTCGAAAAATGGTATATCCTGTTCAGTGAAGCAACAGACAAAACACTATCAACGGTTTTTGTCCGATTACTTCAATCTCCAACGAGTTGGAGGACAGCATGTTGAAATTAGTCACTTGATTTGCAAGATATGCTAAAAATTCACTAAGAGCGAACACGGGTACATAAGCGAAATGCGCTCGCAGGCTTGTCGTTTGGACCTTTCATCTGAGCCAAGAAAAGAGTCACGCCTTCGTGTGCAGCTTTTCGCCAGCACCAGATATTCCCATAGTCTAAAATCAAAGTGATTGTTGTCCGAACTCACGTGAAACCTAGTTCTGTGTCGTAGTTTCGGACTTTCTCAGCCTCACAAACTATTATTCAAACGTCTATATGACAGTTGCTTGGAAATGCGATTCGACGTCACGCGTTCCACATAGCATCTGGCTTTGAATAAGGATGCTTTCAAATCGGTGCATCTTCGCATCACACAAGTGCGACCACCATGACAAGGTAGAAGCATTAGATCGGCATATATATATA